CGTAAAAAATTAACTGTTCACGCACACGACATAGCACAGGAAAAACGCCACACTGCAGAACATTACCCAAGAGATTGTTAAACAATTTTCGTTCGTTTTATTTCTTATAGTTTTTAACATTTTGAAATTTTATCGAAATAAATATTTTTTATAACATATTATTATTGGTCTATAAGATTCCGGTCGTTATATCGAGTTCAAGCTAATATATGATTAATTATTAGGAAACTGATTTTGCGGAGTATACCTGCAGTATTAAATCGGATTTTTTACCATCGGTGTTTTTTACTTTGGATTTTTTCGGACAGAATACCAATAGGCTCCCTATTAAAAGGTATGCATTGTTTATTATATTATTCTTCAACATTGTTAGGGTCTCGTCGGGTGTCGTTGTTATTGTCGTGGAACGGACAGATGACCAAAACGTCGGGAACGTGGACGGAGAAGTGTAGTCGTCGTCGTCGTCGGTGCGACTGAGGGACGAGCGATAAATTATAATTTATCATCATCGTACGCGACTTTTAGTAATCGCGCGCGACGCCGCCGCGTTAAAACGATTAATCAACCGTCTCGTCGAACCCCAGCCCGACTACACACGCGTATAATAATATTATTATATTAATATAATATATATTGTGAGACACAGGTATTTGTACTTTGTAGGTACCTACATAATATCGTATTATATTATGTATTGTGTATAAACATTTTTTTTTTTTATTATTTACACGATTGCCACACACGTGCACAACTTACAGTAATAATGTGGTCCTACGTACTTACAATACGTCATGTACCTGTATATACCTATTCGTGTGCAGCGACGGTATATACCTATAAACGTCCGTCGTATTATTCGTACGGTAATGGCGTCGGACATATTATTATTATGCAGACACTATATTAAAATATAATAAACGATAGCGGCGAGCGCACAGAGGACAATGTTAAATTCTCGAGTTTTTTTCGTCGGCGGCAAATGTCTTTTTTACCGCCACGCGTAGGACGTCCATAAAACACAAGACTTTGGCGAAAACGAAAAAAAACATAAAATTACGATCCAAAATAATCGAATTTATGATTTGCACGAACCAAACGTCATTCCCAAAGGTCGTACCTATACAATAATATATTATTATGTACAATATTGTGTCATCAAAGTCCTAGGCTCTAGGGTTAGCTCAGATGGTCGTGTGATGTCGACCCTAAATTTATATATTGTAACGACACGTGACGATATTTTGAATGTAATAATAGGCTGTAGCCCAAAAGTCCAAAAATAAATAACCCAAAACAGAATTACTTTTTAATAACCCATATACGAAAATCAATTTTATAATAAAAAATTTAATTTATTAACATCGTAGTTATTATTAATATTTAATTAAGCATTTACAGTGACATTGAAATTAGTTAAAAACATCATTAAAAAACAAAAAATTAGTAATAAAAATTATAGTATTATTTTAAATTAGTCAAAAAGGTATCATGAATAAATAAATTAATATATTAAACTAAACAATAAACTAATATAATAATGAGTAGGTATACCTTAAAATTAAATTTGAAATTTGAAGCCCACTGTCTCCATGTATTCCAATCTGGTATTTTTTTTTCTTCACACAAGGTCCAAGTTTTTTATGACTTTTTCGACCATTTGACTGTAATTTAAATAAACTTCTGCTTGATATTCTTTAATCACTTTAATAACACTATAAATAGTTGGGCACGGGTTAAAAAATTGATCTTTCAAATGCCTGTGATATGATTCTTGACCATTGGTAGTCCTTGGCTCATTGGAATGTCGCTCAGCCCTTTTGTGTAAGTTAATGTAAATTAAATTTTATTAGTTAATTTTTGAAGACCTATAATTTTAATTTAGCGAAAACCAGACACATAAGCACACGTGACACGATCGTATCACAGACACCGACTGATTTAGATGGATATCGGGTATTGGATTTATAACATTTTAGTAGAATTTCAATTAAAAATAAAACGAATCAATAAGCCATATGTCTATATGGTTACAAAGTTATATAGTTATCAAAAATATCCCATTTAATGTAAGTTTATACCGTATATACTATTATATAATATTGTATATCATAGTTATCTTAAATGATTATCAACCATCATAGTATTGTGTTACGATAAGACACAGACAAATGCAATGAATTTCTCGACATGTTGTTGCAATCTGTCGTGGAATGGCCACGTGTACATGAAGGTAACCCAATACGTTAGGTTATTAAAATAGTGTTTCAGTTAATACAATTTATTTTTGAGCTTTTATCCCTCTACCAAGGTACAAATGTCGCAAATTCGTTTTGCGCTTTTGAGTTTCACCTTAATAATATTATTGTCTAAATAATTACCATTTCTAGTGACGAAATCGAAGCCAATGTGCATTTTTATTATACTCTGGCTTTACCATTATTATTATAATATAAAATATTATTTTATTCAAGTCCTGCACTGAAAAGTGAAGACTGTCAATTAGGTACTTTTTTCAATGGACGTCGAGTTTCTACTTTTTGTGGGATATTTTCGACAGGAGCGTACCAGCTACTTCCGAAAACGAATTCGTTCACAACAGCTGTTTTAGTTTTGACTGCCTAATTAACAATGACGCTGTCGTTTAATTAGTGTCCATAACCGTATTACACTGTGGGCACGACAGACGTAGTTATTCGTTAGAGGATGACAGAGTCAAAGTTAAACCACGTCAAACGTTTCTAAATCATAGATAACTCAAAACATCTGAGATTAAATTATTAACTTTATGTACATTTATATAGTGTGCTATATATACTCGTGATGCTTAATCTTCCCTTTGACCAACTTTTGTAGCTTTTAGTGGAAATGATTTAAGCATAGTAATAATAATTATTGAATTACTGTGGGCGACTACACTCGTCGGGTTATTATCCACAGCAGTAGTATTACTTACTTCGACGTGTATACTTCTTTGCTACTGCAGCTTACATGATATTATATAGGTTACAGATGTTTATGGATATTATAAATAAGTACATTTTGCTGCTAATAGTCTTAGGTAGCTAAAGTAAAAATATTGAAGACGGAAACGTATAGGTAGGTAGGTACTACGATTTCGATGATTTAGGTACAAGTACAAATATTAAATATTATATACTTACAAAAAGCAACGGATGATTTATTTGATTTTTTTCAATTTTACGAGTGGATCTCTCGTCTCCCGCAATCTGCCATCTTAAAATGTGTGTGATCCACCTCTTTATGTATCTTAATGCTCAAGAATTTTAGGGTTTAAACGATTCATTATTTATGTTTTTAATGAATACCTAATATAAATTAATGTATTTTTGTTTCTCATTAAAATATGTGTTTGTTAAATCGGGATAAAAAAAACTAATATATTAAATATCAACCAAAAAATTTATTATAATATTATAATAATAATATATCGTTGCGAAAAAAGATAAAAACAGTACGTGAGACGTACACACAACTTACACATAATATTTTAGTTGTACGAAAATTAAAGTGTCTGAATTCTATTCCAAAAACATTGCATTATCATCAAGACGTTTTAAAATTAATATTGATTTGATACACATTTTCAATACCTAATCAAAATTAAATTGTTAAAAAAAAATAATGATAAAATGCAACGTTATTCGTAATTTATTACTACAACCCTTTTTTATTATTTTCAATAGTGGCGATAGGTACCCTAATATTTTGTATTAAAAACACTATTTGATAAGTATAATTTATTTTAATGTTTGCGTATTATCAATTTTTGTATTTTTTTTTTAATAAAACGAATTAGTTATTATCCAACATGACGTCAATGCACGCACATTACACGAATAATTCAATTTGTTAATAGCTACTAATAATGAAAAAAGTATGGACTATATTATGTTCTTGTATCATATGTATCCACTGTAAACTCTTTAATTAATATATGAGTGTGTTTTTTTTAACATGATAACCAATTCATAAATTTGAATGAATACTGAACACATAATAGTTACAGTTATACTTATTAAATGTAACTTAATCGTAAGTATGTATATGTATATATTTAAGTACTTCATAGTTCATACTAATAGATTAGATAAATTTATTTTAGTTCACGCCTCAAATGATAACCTAACTTTTATATTAAATGCCATTTGGACACACTTAATTGCCTTTATTTATATAGTAGTAATATAATAGAGCAGAATCATGAGATACATATTGTATTATTATTATCATAATATTGTTCGTGAAAACAGCGTTGTAATTATTTATGTTTATCATATTTGTGTTTTATCTATTTAGTATCCCACACTTTCCATAATTCATTGGTATTTAATGTAATAAGTACCTATACAGAGTTTTCAAAAACTTAGGAAAACTCAATAGACTAGTTATTATTAGGACTGATGAAGGGCCTTATGTGTTTATATGACCATTGATAGTCAGCTTGTCTACAAAATTAATTTACAGGTCTTGAGGCTCACGTTCAAGTTCAAACGTGACAAGTGTATTGACAGTGGGGGGTGGCTTTCGAAAAAGTAGCAGGTACATAGAGTGTAATCTGAGGTCCGGCAAGTGGCCCATATCGACCCAGATTAATATCATTTAAAAACGCTACTCCCAATAAAAATAAGAATTATGAAATAAAATATGTTTTTAACGATAGTTCATATGACATGAGTAAACTTCTTTCCACTTTTTACTTTCTACTTTCTACTTTCTCCTTTTTGGTTCCACGAAATATTAAGGATTTTGTCTGTCAACCACATGATAGAAGAAGATAAGCAAAAAAAATGTTATCAACATCATATTTTTAATTAATAATTAGTAATATAGGCGTAATACATCATAATATGTATTTTAGTCTGTGTTTATAGGGCCATTGATAGTCGGCTTGTCTACAAACTTAATTGACAGGTCCTGAGGCGCACGTTCAAGTTCAAACATGACAAGTGTATTGACAGCGGGCGGTGGCTTTAGAAAAACTAGCAGGGTACATAGAGTGTAATCTGAGGTCCTGCGAGTGGCCAATATCGCCCCAGATTTATGTCATTTAAAAACGCTACTCCCTATAAAAATAAGAATTATGAAGTATATTATGTTTTTAACGATTGTTTATATGACATGAGTGCACTTCAACAGATAATAGCAAAAATAAAATGATAAACAACAAGCAAACAAAATCAGAATACACACCTTAGTCCAACCTGAAGTATCCAGATAAGTATCTAAGGTACTCGTATAGTCCTCGGGCAAAGTGAACTGTGTTCTATAAAACGCTGGGACTTGGACATGTTCCACTGGTTTGATTGAAGAAAGCCAAGACGTTTCATTTAGAGGGTGCGCATCATCTTTCCACGGACCAACTATTTTATTGTCAAGAAGTACATGACCCAAAATTCCCTGGACCCAATAGTACAATTAAGGTTTGAAAATGAAATGTTAACTATTTATTGTTTTATCGGTCAACCTTTCTGTCTTCGATGAAATCTCCGTAGTTGATCCTTCCTTGGTTCTCAACCAAAATACTCAGTGTTTGAGCAGAATGTTTTTCTATGTCTAAAAATATAGTCGTGTTTCCTTTTAGTCGATTCATAGTGCCAACTTGTACCTGAAATAGTAAAATATTAATTTCATGCCGATAACTACTGTGTACGGATGTGACTTTACTTGATCCAGATATATGATTGCTCGATCTCTTAGAGAGTTCACGGTTAGATTCACTGGGTTTTCGAACTTGTTTAATAATATTGTTTCGTACATTACGAACCCAGTGTTGATATCCATACTTTCAAACGTTAAAGGTTTGGCGCTTAACACTGGTGTGATCCGATGAGTGACTTCTTCAAATAAACTAACCAGTGGTTGTAAGTGGAATGTACCATAGGCTGCTTTAAGCATTGGAATCGGCGATATAACGCTGATATTCTCTAGTACAGGACCAGAATGTTTCTAAAAAAAAAAAAAAAAATTTAATAATTTCGACTTTCGCAAAGGACTGTGAAGTGTTAAAAAAAACTCACGGCATTCTCGAGCGTCTCTTTTATCCTAAAATATTTTTCGGTTAGGTCACCAGCTCGGTTATCGAGGCATCATAATCGTATGATGTTAGCTCGAGGTAAATATCCAATTTTCGCATCGGTTTTCGTTTTTATTGGCCCAGACGTAAATCCAAAATTAGTACCTTCCGTGGAAACATGTAAAAACTAAACGAGGCGTTCAACGACAGCATTGATTTCATTTGCCTCACAACAGCGTCAGAAGTGACTTTAGGGTGTGGTTCCTGCCAATGAGCCAACCAACCTGGATAAAACTCAGAGTTTACAGGTGGTCCGCCTTTTTGAATTGTTTTCAGAAAATCAAAACATTGTGAGGCTAAAAAAAATTCATTATAAAAGTTAATCAACAACCTCGTTGATATCGTTTACAAATGCACTGTATAGTCCAAGTACCAGCAATAAGATCTAATCTGAAATGATTGTAGGCACATAGAACTAACCATTTACTGAAATTCCGAAATCGACGGTCGCGTACACTTCCGGAATAGGACCACAATCGAAATCTCTCTGCCTACATATATCAATCGTATAGAGTAAAGCTTTGTCTTCTACGTATCCTTTTAATAAATCACGTAACCACAGTCTGTAGTCTGAATCACAGGCGTAGTAACTCCCATACTCATTCTCCACCTATGTGAAATCAATACACATTTTAGAACAAAAATTAACACTTATATGTGAGTTGTAAATACGATATTATCAAGTATTATATTTTTAAGTATTCCTCGCAAATGTCCAAGGTACTTTTTTAAAAGTACCGGTACATTGCAATACTAATTATTTCAAAATATAATTAAATCCTGACGGTTGACAATATATTGTTTCATCACCTGGACCATAATGATATTTCCACCATTTCCGTACAAATGAGGTTGCATTTTCTGCATGAGCACGTTAAACCATTGTGAAACGTATTTTTTTATAACCGAAAATTAAATGTATTATTAAACATTATAGATAATTTAACAATATCAGTGTTTTCTTGAACATACTCGAATCGTTTGTCCTCAAGCTCCCCTTAGGCGTAACGTTCAATAACCAATATGGAAATCCACCCTAAAAACTAATACCCGTGTAGTATATATTTTTATATTATGATTATGGTATGAAAACAACAATTAAACTACGAAATCACGTTCAGCCATATGTTATGGACCAGGTCTCAAGAGTAGGTACATGCCTTCGTCTTGGAGCAATTTGATGAATACTCCAAGTCGGCCATCCCTTCGAAATTATATGTGCCAGGGAATGGTTCGTGTAAGCTCCATTCTACGTAACTAAAAATATTATCATAATTATAATTTGTGTTTCAATAATAACATAACCGTATGTTTTTATAATTATAGAGTTCATTTGTTTCCTATTTTATATTTTATATTCGTTTTGTGGGAACTGGTGAATTGTTAACAACTATATTATGTTATAGGTACCTATCAACACATATTATTACGCATTTAACATTGGATAAAAAACAAATAATTATATACTTTGAAACTTACAAGTAGGTAGGTTTAATATGAAACCTAGGTTCTTATAATTGTTTTTTTACATTTACTCTTACTAATATGTAGATTGTAAGCACTATCTAGGTATGGTCTATAAAAACTAATGACTGTGTTTCTTGTGTTTTATGACCATTATACCATTATTTAGCTAATTTTTAAGTAGATATAATTGTACTGAATTGTCGGAGTATATTAATGTATAAACGTATAATGACGTTGTAACTTAATTCATTCACAACAATTTTATATTTATTAAATCTTGTTGATAATTATGAACTATAATAGATGTACTGTTACCAACAGATACAATATGCATACTCCTCGGAAAAGTGAAAACCACAATAATACACAATTTAATATAACACATTAGAAAAACTGGAATCCGACGAACGTCATTTATGTACAAAAAAATTTAAATACTAAAAAAAACCGTCCAAAATGTTTATACATTTAAAAAAGTTTTTGTATAATTTAAAATTGATGTCGTTGTTTCATTTAAGTGCACTGTGTAAAACTGCAGTATGGATACATTTTATAAATACTCACGTTGTTATAGCATTTAATCCAGCTGCTTTTATTTTTTGAATTCTGTCTTTCCAATAAGATTTTGGAATTCGAAAATAGTGCAAATCGCCGGAAACGTATCGGAACACTTCTCCGTCTTTTAGGAACTCGTTTTTTTCATAATCTACAATGAACGTCCGGTTGTTCGTCTAAAAAATAAGAAATCGATACTACAGATTGAATCGTCGAATCTTTTGAATATTTCGATTAAATTTAAACCGCCGATCTCGATGATATATTAAATTATGTTAATTAATTTACGTTTACGTCTGATACTCACCGAATTATGAGCATCGGAAAAGACGAAAACAAATAATGACCAAAAACAACATACACCAATCCAATGCATATTGTTCACTTTCCAATAGACGAAAACTTATTATAATAATATTTTAATATATCACAACATTCAACAAGTTATATTTCTGTAGTTTTGTGTTCTGCAAGTTATGAGTTAGCTATACCTACTCTACGACAAACAACAGTTTGATTGATAATCATACACGTAGTCTTATACAACCATTACTTTTATAGCATAGCTGTTATCTGTTTATTCATTTTTTTTTTGTGCAACAGACGTTTTAATGATAATTTAATTTATAAACGATATAATATTGTCAATTAATTAGGTAGTAAACAAACTTCAACATGGTGTTGATCTTAAGTATGGTTTTCGTTCGGAATATACAGAGCGGGCAGTTTCGTATTTGCTATTTGCTCATATAAATGTACAAAATAGATGAAAATAATAATATAGTTTACATAATTTGGACTTTGATATCATTGATAAACAACATTTTTACATATATTATAGAATAGATATATATATATATACAAAATAATATTTAATTATACAATTTTATTATTTATTGGTCCTCAACTATTACACTTAACCTGATAATAATACGTTGAGTGGTTTTTTTAAGTAACTAACTTCATTGAGTACCTACTTTCATAACAATATAACAGAATTAAACATAATATATTGATTTATAAAAAATTATGTTTAATCTCACGGTACACGCATTAAACAAAATATTATGAAATAAAAGAAAAGAATATTACTCTTGTTTTATTTTTAGTATAATTTTCTAAGGTACCAAGTTTTTCAACCGTTAAACTTCGATTTCAATAATGTTGTTTGTGTACATACCTCATTCGTATCTATACGTTTACTGTTCAAATTTTAAATGATTACAATAGTACGTTATGGTTTATTGAAATGTGTTGATAAAGAAATAGATCAATTAAATATAATGATTAACAATTATACAGTACTTTGGTATATACTCTAAATAACGATAAATGTGTTGATTTTTAATTTGAAAAACAATTTTTAATTTAGCATTATTTTTGATATTAATATGAATATCATCTATTACTATATTATTAATAGAAAATTTATCAAATTTGTAATTTATTAGTAGTCACTAATTATTAATGCACTTTTAAATTTTTTTTTATCTCCACCATTATTATCACAGACACGATTTATTTAATATTATAAGCCTTTGTATATACATGTATTTATTTTTAAACCGTTAATATTATTAGAAATATTAATTTAATGATGTTATTAATTTAAATTATATTTTGTTATAATAAAACTTATAAAATAAGTAGTAAATAGCATTTTATTATTACTTATATCAACCAATCAAATATAATATTATGATTATTATTTTTTAGTTTTTTTTTTCTATAAATACCAATAAAATTTTATGTGTTGGGTACAAAAGCATAAAAAATTTAATAGAATGTTCCTAATATATTGTTTCGAACACAGATGAAAAATATTAAAAATCCATAGTCACAATTTTTCTTTATACCTAAGCATTTAAAGTTCAAATATTGACAAAATTTATCAAATTTAAAATTGAATAATTATTTTGTAGTTAAAAATGTATGAAATGTTCAACTTTTATATCTAAGGATTGAAAATTTAAAACAAGATTCCATGTATGTAGTTAATTTTGTTACTAAAAAATCTAAAAAATACATAAGCACGGTTTATTTTTATAGTCATTTTAAGTTCAAATTTGGGCGAAATTGCATAATAAAAAACCTATAATAACTATTTTAGTTATTTTGTTGTGATTGTATAATATTATTCGTGGGTGCTTGAAACTTCTAAAGTATACCTACTACTATATATCTATGATAGTATCACGGTTTGTTATTGATGTATAACGCGTTATAAGTACCTAATGAATATTGTGATATGATTAATTTGGAATTTATATTATAGGTACCTATTATAATAGGTCAATGTTTTTTTTAATACCATAGATATGTATATAATAAGGCTTATACCTAGACTGACACGCCGTCTCCGCTCAGAATCGTTTATCTTATACAATTATATTATATCATTGAATTCAAATTTAATACCATCCATTATACAGTGACCCACTTGTAACCTACTGTACAGCAGAGCACATTTTTGTTGTTCTTGAGATTAGTCCATAGTAAATAATCTTTTTTAATCCTAATTAATTATTATATATTAAGGAAAATATTATAACTTAAAGTTTTTTAATAGTTAGTTATATTTTGAATTATTTTACAGTTCAAACTTTGAAATCGTTCTCCTGAGTAAGTAGTAATAAATACAATTTAAGTTAAACATAATATATATATATATATATATATATATAAATATACTAATTTAAAAAAATCTACTCCTCTTATTTTATTAATATGTAGGTATACTGCGTAAAAAAATTATCAATACGCACACATGAAATAAACGACACACTGAACATTACTCAAATACTCAATCAGTCGTTAGAAAATATTTTCGGTAGTTTAATATTTCATCGTCCTTTTCCCCATTTTGAAATTTTAGACTAAAAAATTTGAAATCAATACAACCAATTTAGTCGTCGAATTATTTGATTAAATTTAAACCGCTGATGTCGATGATATATTATATATTGAATAGCCTATGAACTAAATAACCTATGTATTAACTATTAGTAAAGTATATATTATATTATATACTTACCGAATTATGAGTAGGTATCGGTAAAAACGAAAATAAATAATGACCAAAAACAACACACACCAATCCAGTACATGGTTCACTATCTAATAGACAAAAACTTACTACTAGAATAATATATATCACAACATTAAATTAATTATATTTCCCTAATTTTGTATTCTTCATGTTATAATGAGTCCGCTACTCTATAACAAAACCAGTTAGGTTCATAATTTTACTTCGTAATCTTATACAACCTTTACTTATGTAGTAGTGGTTATCTGTGTATTAATTTTTTTGGCAACGTAAAATAAAATAATAATTTAATTTCAAAACGATATAATTGTCAAATAATTACTAAACAAACAACACTATATTAATATGGCTTTGATTTGAAGTATGGTTTTAAATTTTAGGTTAAAATATACAGAGTGGTCATATTTTTGGAATTTTTGAAATTTTTTCAGGCTTAAGCTGACTTCAAATTCTTCAATTTCTCCAAATGAGACCCCCCCCCCTCTTTTTTTACAGTAAACTATTTAGTGGATAACTTTTTGAAAATTTTGATGTACTTACCTACCTAAATTCAAAATAGCAGTTTCTTAGTTATTAAACCGTTTGGATGATAGTCGTTAAAAAGATATTTACATAATAATATAAAATAGAAGTAAAAATGGATCTAGCATTTATTATACTGGTTTCATTTTTACAAATTATTAATATTAATTACTACAATTTTCAAATCACCGTAGCCCCGACAGTGGCGTATACGGAGGGGTGGGGGGTTCAACCATTCCTGTATACTCCACTGAGCCCCAATATCTTATAAGTCCATAACATGGACATTTTATCCTTAGAACACAAAGTTAAATAATTCATCAACTACTAGTATAAATTTTGATTCTGATGCGTCAACAATTTTCAAAAAAATTTCCATTATATAATAAACAGTCGAAGATATGTGTTCTCATTTGAAAAACAGAAGTTTGTACCTCTATAAGACGCTCCTCAAGTAGTGCAAAAGATCTTGAGAATTTGAAAATGTGGTTTTAAATTATATTTATAAATACCAAAAATCAGATTTTAAATAATTGCATTATTGAAAAAATAAAGAGGGTGAGTATGCTTGGTGAATTTCGTACTCTGTATACAAAACAATATGTAGTTAGTCAATTTTATTTTTTAGTGGTCCTCGACCTACACTGAGACTGATACCACATTGAGTACTTTTTTAAAGCAGCTATATTGAGTACATAACAATTATACTTTCATGATAATATTGTATTTACTTAATACCTGGCCGGATTCAACAACTATTGATTGATGAACATTTATTTTTAAACAATTAATATCATCAGAAACATAATTTTAATGTTATTTATTTAAAAAATAAATACTAGAAGAGCATGTTTTAAAGGCTTAGTCTAGTCTAGTGCAATAAAACTAATATACTGCAATATACTAACAATAAGCCCGGGTTGACCCTAAAATCGAGTGTACAAATCTATGGTGATGTAGCGGAAAAAAGAACAGTGAACTCTTAACCGAATTTTAACAAAATAGTGGAAATTAAAATATATATCTAAGCAATCACGAACCTTGACTGAGTGGTGTGATAATGAACAATGCGAAGATCGAGTTAGCATGGCTTAAAAATGCAATGGAGTACAATTATAAATGGTTTCGCCCCGACCTAAGTCCATCCGGATCAACTAAATTAATTATGTCTCAACTATTTCGTGCTTTTAATAAAATTTTTGACTTTTTAGTAAATTTTTACTAGGTTCATTTTAATTGTTTTTATTTTTTTTTTTTATTAAATTGTATATGATTTATAAATAAATAAAATATTTTCTTGAATAACATTAATTATTATAGTCTCTTCCAAAACAAGTAAAAAAATTCTGTCCAGAAATTAATGACGAAGGCAAATATTTATTTTATGTTTAATAATTTTACCAATCATTGAAATAAACGAAAGTTTAGTTCTTTTTCGGCTCCACGGATTTTAAACGAGATAGGGCTTAGAAGTAATTTTTTATTTAAATTTAAAATTAGTTAATATGGGTTTTTACTGTTTTTAATCAACTCATATAAAATTAACTGCAGAAATTCTTTTAGGTATATTGTTGTTGAGCATACTTTTTATATATTATTTTTTTACTAGGTAAATTTTAATAATTTTAATTTTTTATTAAATTTTATGTAATTTATAAATAAATAAAAATCAATATTTTCTCGAATAACATTAATTATAGTCACTGCCAAAACAAATAAAAAACGCTGTCCACAAATTAAAGACGAAGACAAATATTTATTTTACGTTTAATAATTTTACCAATCACTGAAATAAATGAAAGTTTAGTTCTTTCTCGGAGCCACGGATTTTAAACAAGATAGTGCTTAGAAGTAATAATTGTCATTTGAATTTAAAATTAGGTAATATGGGTTTTTACTGGTTTTAGTCAACGCATATAAAATGAACTACAACAAGTCTGGTAGGTATATATTGTTGTTACGCTGCCTTTTTATATTATATTATTTTTTTTTTTCATACTTTACAAATTATTCATTAAAAACATTTTCAAAACCGGAAGCTTAGGTGTGTAATACCACGAAAGTATTATACGGTGGAAAAAAACAGCTTAATTCGTTTATACAGCGAGCAACATTTTTTTTTTTTTCAGCTCACGGTGTACTTTACACGTTCTTTTAACAGTCATCGTTTATTATTATTTTATATTTTCCACCATTAAATAAGTACAAAGAGTGCTTTTTCGGTTTAATTACCGAAAGAACATGTTTAAAAAAAAAAATTGTACATTTTAAAAGCTCATATACCATATTTTACTTCGCATTCCTTGTTAAAAGCATAAAATTATAAACATTCATAATTTATGCAACATAACTTTGCAAGCCATTTGATTTTTTTTTTTTTCATAATAATATCATAAAAACCTTCAGTTCGAAAAGGGTTGATAGAAGTTGTAATAAAAATCTCTACGCATTATAAGATTCTATGGTATAAATACAGTGTTAAAAGAAAATTAACGCCTGCGGGTATATTGACTCTACATGAAAAGCGCATAAATATTGTTATAAAGGAAATATAATATTATTATTACGTACCTTTATTTTAAAATTAAAAGTTCACAGGTGTGTTTTATTTACGGTTCGATGAAATATTATTATCATAATAGGTAATTATATTGTATTTTATTACAATTCAATTTTTTTTCCCTCAGTAGCACAACGTTCCAAATAACAATTTATAATATTTATGTAACTATCCTGTCGTTATCGTATAAAATGCACTTTTCAAACCTGTCGTAAACAAGCGTTAAAAATAATATTATAATATTTTGATGCCTATTATATGTACATAATATTTCAGTTACCTGTCATATTCGGCTACAGTGCCTAAATCTATTTTTAAGCATAGGTACACTTGTCGACGAGCTCTCAAAGTTGACTACTGTAAAATATTATGATGTTTTGAAAATGTTACATAATATGGGTTGACATTTTTTTTTACAAATTTAATTCATCGTCAAAAACGATATGATTAATATTGTGCGGACGTATTATATAATATTATAGTGTTCGCGTTGCCTATTAAACACGCTACGTTTTAATGGACAAACCTAAAAACTGTCGCCGGTGATAATTTCTAATTAACATTAGTCGGCGAAACTTGCGTTCGAATCGTTAAATATAGATAGGTACCTACATCGTAATATACGACGACGTGTCTCCAGACGTACCATACGAGTTTTAAGATTTATGTCTCGTTTTCGTGTGTATTACACTCGGTGTAAAATAATAATTATAATTATTATGATGTGCCGACGACGTGCCACAACGGTTTGTAATTATAATATTATATACTTTTGCCCTCCTCCGAGGGGACCCGCGCTCGGGGAAGAGCCAAATCGCACACGCACGTCATATTATATTTTAGTGTGCTCGTAGTTATGTATAGTTATATACTATCATACCTATACACTCGTGTATTATAATTTGTAGCTACTATATACGGTGTGAACACGTAATAATATAAATTATTTTGACGACGCGATGTCAACGCTTGATGTGGGTAAACGCGCGTGTTTAGTCGAAGCAGTCTCCCCGAGCGCAGCGGATTTACGACTCCGAGGTCGGACGGAGACTTAAACGGGCTGTAATAATTTATTATTTCGACGAGGAGACGACCGGGTGTGCGACTGCAGAGAGTGCAGAGCTGCTGCCGGGGAGATGAAGAAAAATATCCCTCGAAAACATTATAATATCGTACCCACACACGTGCATATTACTACACACGTCACTCGCTATGTGTGTAGACGAGCTGGTGTAGGACGTAGGTATTGCCTACCAACTATTTTATACCGCTGCAGCGTGTAATACCGTGTCGTGTCTTGTGCGAGCAGTAAATAATAATTAGTCCGTCCGAATATCGCTGGTGATGATTACTCGCACGAAACCTGCGACACGTCTGTGCGGTGCTGCAGGACCCCGCCGCCGCCGCCGCCGGGCCTAATAATACAACAATAATTATTATACTCTGTTAATGTCTTCCAGCTGCGGTGCACACACGTCAGCCGGCTCGATATATCCCGTGTCGGGTACACTATATTATAATATCCGACCCTGCGGGGGTGGCCCGTTTCGCACCCCATTTGCGAGCCGCCAAATTAGCGTTTTTCGACGGACAAGAAACACACCCGTCCGGGCCGCCGACTGTTTCCGAAACAATCGACGCGTGAACGAGTGTCGGCGGCATGATACGTCGTAAACTGCACCACCGTCCAATTATTTATCGTCTTATTATATTGCTCGTCACGAAAATAATTATTATTATCGTCTATGGCATTATTAGTTTTGTTGCTGTTACGATCGCGAAGTCGTTATTGTTATACCGTCATTACCGTCGAATTATATTATCCGTCGCTCCGACTTTCGCGGATAATATCGTATTATATAATGTTTGTATTTTTTTTTTCGCCTTTTCGTTTATGTAACGATACTATACCTAGGTAGGTACCGTTGTGTTTTTTTTTTTACCAGTGCGTTTTGAAGATTTTTCCCGTTTCGATTCCGCCGATGATTAACAACGCGTACCACCTAGTCGGTAATGTTATATAATATTGTGTTATAGCTAACACCTATATATTGCAATAATATCATACTTCTATCCTTCGACGGGGATTATAACATGTATAGCTTAATATGTTTTATTGTGTACCTACTGCCACCGTGTACTCCACTTGTACGATTAGGAACCGTTTTCGAATGTTTCGCTTGTGTTCCATAATAAAAATTTACAATGGCGCGTTTTATATTTTCAAATTAAAAATAAATATTTTACACTACGATACGCGTCGTTGTGTTATATTTTATAATTATTTTTTTTTTTTTTATCATTGGCTGTACAAAATGCACAATATCAGCGCACAGACGAGCACAATGGGTAAAACGTTTTAATTAAAAGTGGCTTAGGTATAACGTCACTCTTTGGTAAAATTACAATAAATTTACAGTTACCAACGTCTGTCCAATTGTGTCTTATTGCGAATTTAATAACATCCAAATCGGTTTATAATGAACAATATCATTATTATACTAGTAAATTCCTTTTGATTAACTTTGTTTATCGAAAATAAATTTTGAAACGTCCCATTACGGTTTCGTAGAATTATTTGTTAATATTATATTCATCTTATACAACAGTAAAAGAGTATCGTGAGACAGTATTGTCAAATTTTCCAGTACCGGCGCTTATAGCTTATTGTGACAGGAAAAGTTAATAAAAAAGTTATTGCCAGTGTTCGATACGATGGTAATCAATAACTACTAGAATATTATAATATAAAGAGTTTCCATTACTAAACGTAGAGATAATTTAAAAATAAATTGAAATTTTGAATCATCCACAAAAATTTGCAAAATTAATTTTCATTTAAATTATTTATAAAGTAAAATAATTAACATAATATTATTTTGTGTAGCTGTAAATACTCTTAAGCACATATACCTTATGCACATGCCACATTTTACAATAAATAACACTGTGCGCTCATACCCATAAAACTTTATTGGACTTGTCTACAAAATATCAAAATACGTTTCATAATATATAATAATAATATTGTTCGATATTGAATTACATTTTCATAACTATATTCTAAATTTTAGATTCTGAGTATGGAGCGAGGAGCTAGTGGTTTTACACTGAAGATTATTTTTTTTATCCTGTAAACAAAATTTCTACCAGAAGGAGTGCTTGGATATCAACATATAGTAGCAAATTGGATCAAGATGGTACTTTAAACAGGTCATTTTGGGATTTTCTCAATAGTTTTTAGGGAAAAACCACAAAGATTTATCTGTCTAACCTATTTTTTTTCTAATGCTTCGTTTATCACCATAGAAACGAAAAAAATTTATCTCGATTCCCCCCTATGTATATTTTAATATACAATATTAATGGTTACTTATTAATACTTAATATTTACGATTCATCAATTTTCTTTCGTCCGCTCAGAGTCGTTTTTGATCGAACGCAATCTCGGTTGCATTCAAATCGAATAGTGTAATAATGCACAATGTCCTGTCCTAGGACCGAAGGGACCCAGGACAAACTTCCAGCACCGCTGACGACCTACTCCCCACCTCTCGGCTTTTTTCACGTTTAGCCTACAAATAATATGATACGTGTCGTAGCTATAGGCATATCGCCTGCACCGATCGCGATGTGTAAACCCGTCGTAATAATTCGTCTAAAACCAAACTTTCGAGAGGTGACGAGACCTGGTAACACATCGCCACCACCGATCATATCAGAGAGATTCGATTTTGGCGTCTCTGGATTTACCGACCGACTCATTCGTGCTCAGCCGGGCGTAACTGACGGGCGTTCAACGGCCCCGTTATCTCGGTGGCTTTAGCTGTTTGGCGATAAACGTTTTCGGGCTAACGATACCGACCAGGTCGTGGTGGGGGGGATGAAGCAGGGTGGGTGGCAAAAATAATAATCTAAAGGAATATTGTCGAGAAGATCCTCTCCCCCTGCAGCTCGAGAAGACGGCTGAGGTCGTCGACAAGACGAGAGCCGGGTTTTTTTTTTATATTTTATTTTTTGCCGGTCCGTCGTCAGGTCAGGCCGTTTGATTGATGAGACTCGCGAGAAAAATGGCTCGTTTTCCTTTTAAATAAAAAAAAAAATCATCTCCGGCTCCGAGTCCTCTCGAGAGTACATGATATACGGTGATTATTAATACAACATACGCTCAGAGAGTGACTTGGCATTAAACAATTAACGCACGTCCCACGAATAGGCGTTCGGGTTTTTACTTTAAGCCGTGTAAGTATAATATGATATTGTGATATCGAGAATTATGTACATACCCAAGGTGGATATACCTATATATACCACCTTCTATATACCTATACAATATAATATTGGTATCCCGATCCCGGGGCCGACACACGGTCTTGCGGGTACGTACGTGTGGGTGATCGGGAATATTAGTCGATTATTAATCATCCGTCCTACAAATATAATAATAATAATAATAGTATGCCTTTATGACGATGTATAATAATATTAAACGTGTGCTCTCGGGACCCGATGTCATCGAATTAAATATTATATTATTGCTCGCTCTCGAGAACACAGAAATATTATGCGTAGATTATGTGCGGCGCTCGTCGGCGATCTCATCAGATATATAAAATAATATTATATTATTATTATCGTGCTCAGCTTGACCCTAACACGCTATTATTGTGCGTGTCATTAACGACAACAAATAAAAAAAAATTGTCCTGAGGTCAGCGATGGTATAATATTATATCTCGTGTCCGATCGTTCGAACTGAGTATTCATTGTACCCACATTATGTTTTTCGATGGGTACGACGACTTAAGTCTTAATTATCGTTATTGACACACACTGATGTATAGTACTAGTATATAGTAGGTATACATATACACATAATACGACTCGCTGTACATCGTAAATTAGGTACAGTCGAGTCTCGGATAACTCGAATCTCGAGTGGTATAAAAAATAAATTCGACTCTGGTGTTTTTCGAGTAACTTATCTCAAGTATATTATATAAGTTATAAGTATACCTACACTTTAAAGGACGAGTAAAAAATTGTAGTCGGTATATATTCATATGGCGACTAGATTGTATTTAAGCTTTAAGGTGCTGCAGCATTAACTGTTTATTATTCGATTAAAAACCACGGATTTAAGCTGGAGAAACAAAAATGGTGCATGCGATGGCTGTTTACATTTTGGAGGGAGATTTATTCTCGAAAGAGTGCCCCTGCGTTTATAAGGAATTATGAAAACATGTTTTTTAGTCACAGTTGACAATATATTTTTGTTTGTTTATCAACTTGCAACGAATAATAATAAAAAATAAAATAAAATACCATAGTTGAATTGGCATACGCATTATACCTATAGTAATATTACATTTTTAATGTAAACTTACCGAGACTTGAACGAAACGTTTTGTTTTTCCATGATATAATACTATTAACTTTTAAAGACTCTAAACCGAAAAAATAGCCCCTGCAAATTGTAATCATATGGTCATAATTAATGGGTCTGAGATCTCGCACTCGATCGACGAGACAAATAATCAAAACTATTATACAATTTTCCATTCATATACTGCTGCAGTCGATCAAAGTAGGTGCGTGACGCTGGCATCCGCAAGTTTGAATTTCAACTCAAAAACCACATCAGTAATTGTTATACAATTTGTACAAATTTGTAACCACAATTCCAAAATTTGTACACCCCCCGTCGCCCGTAAAATCCAAAAACGATTTCCGGGTGCCAGCATCACGTGGTTACAAATTTGTACAAATTGTATAACAATTACTGATGTGATTTTTGGGTTGAATTTCAAACTTGCGGGTGCCAGCGTCACGCACCTGATCAAAGTCAGTGTCGAAATGAAATAAAATCGCGGCGCTCTCATTAAAATATACGCTGGTTAGACCCACGAAGTGTGTGGTATGAAAAACTCGGTATGTCGCACAAAAACAACGTCGGTGACGTGAACGCGTATAGTCTATACGATATATGAAAAAAGAAATACCTAGGAGCCACCACGCGTGGTTATATCCTGAAAGCTTTCTACCAGTACTTTTTTACGATTTATTTTTTAATAATGACGTAAAACGCGTACATGGGTATATATATGTTGTAGACGCTCGTATCTAGCTGGTACCCCATATAGCTGCTCCATATGTAGTGCCCACCGCAATAATATATGTGTTGCGAACCGAGAAAAACACGTTTTTTTTATACTTTTTCGTAAACGACCCATACCAGCGATATATATATATAGACAGAGAGAGAGAGAGAGAGTAAGAGACGATTCTGCGACCGACTACAACGTATATTAAAAGAACGGTCGGGACTTTTATCGTGACTTTGCGGCCTTACACGTATACTGCACATATATATATGAGTTTACGTGTTACACGTGTACAATATATATGCTTCTCCCGCTGCAGTTTAATAATAATTGCGACTGCACCGACGGTCGTACTTGACGTCGTGTGTTTGGTGGCGCGTGTTATTGCCGGACTATAATATTATTATTATCATGGCCGTGGTGCAGCAGCACAGTACAATATAATATAATATTGCTGTACATTTAGTATTCTATTATAATATTATGTATTATCATAATACTTGCGCGATATCGTACACAATACTATATTATTATAGGTATAATACGACGCGTCCATTGGCTGCTCGCAGTCTTCCGGTCCAATACTCGCACGATTAAATCGCTTCCCGTCGAACAGCTCTCGGATATATACGCACCTATAGGGCAGTGTTCCTTCGATGTCATAGACCATACGGACATAACGAGCAGTGCTACATATATACAGTGCTTGATTTGGGGGGGGACGCGGGGGGACGGAGTCCCCCTTCTTTTTAAATTTTTTTTTAGCGTACCCCTTCTATTTATTTGAAACGGAACGCTGCGAACGCAACATTTATTATAGTGAATTTGTAAATCATCAGTTTTTCTGATGCAAAATATATCCATAACCTATATCTATAATATTTGTACATTTGAATCGACTATGAAAAAAAAAGATTGTTAAACTGCTTAAGATTGTTAAAATTCAATTTTCTATGGCTTTTCGGTTTTGGTGTGTAAAACTATAATAGAAGACAGAAGTGTTCATATTTTATCGGCCTTCATAAGACATACAGCGCTCCCGGTGGCGATGGCTGTCTGTGGTAAAATTTTCAATCAAGTTTTCAAACAAGTGACGACACCTTATCAATACACTTTGATAATAGAATTCTTCTATTATCTATGACGTCGTTGATTGCAGGCCGGTGAAAAAATCAACTGTCACTCTTCTGTCATTTTAAAGTCTTAAAGTATTTTGATTTGTCAATTGTCATCAAAAAATTCATACCAGTTTACCAGAAATTGAAAATGGAATTAAAAAGGAAAAGTACAGTAGGTGGATAAAAAGCGGAAAAAAAAATTCTGATGAAGTAAACTATCCTAAACGATCTTCTAAACATGAAGATAGTTCATATGAAAACTTATAGACCTTATTTAATAAGTAGTTTCTTTTTTTTTTTGTAGAATAATTAATTAATAAATAATAATGTTACATTTAATGTTTAAAAAAAAAAAATAAGTATTTTTTTTTCTTTTAAAATATTTTTGTATAGTACATTTAATGATTTTTTTGGGTATATGGGTGGCTGAAGGGGGGTGTGGGGGTTTTGCCCCCCACGGTAATGTGATAGTTAATTTTGTGTGGAACTCTCATTCATCAAACATCCTCAGAGTCCCCCTTCTAGTTTTTTTTCAAATCAAGCACTGTATATATATATTATATATATATGGTAATAATACGAGCATACGCATCGCGACACATCGACTGCTTTTTATAGGTCATCGCAGTCGTCAAGGATACTGCACAGGACCATTTCGATATATCATAATGATAATAATATATAATATGACGTACATGGAACGCTGTGCGGACGACGACGACGACCGTCATCATTATTGCAATTATTCGGCTTCACACGACACAATAAAACCCTTTGCGACCCGGCCGACCGTGAAAGGCCAGCAAGGGAGAGAGAGAGACCGTATCGTATACGACGTCTATTGATTAGCAGCAGAAGCAGCAGCAATATAGCTCGTTTCACATGTCCGGTCATCCGTGCTCGGCCGATAAACGCCTCCGGCCGAGAGGGTGGGCGAACTGTCCGCTGCAGAGGATGTGAATTCCAATATCCCGCCGCAACGGTGTTATCTCGATTATTATTGTTATTATTTCTCGTTATCGTCTATGTGTATCGCCGCACGTTGTAGCTGAACCACCGAATATTGTTATAGGTAAGTAGGTATAATCAGAGGAATATAATATACGGCGAGGTCAGCGGTGACGGTTTTGAGGGGTGAACGTCATAGTGCAGTCGACCCAATACCCCCGACCCTAACGGGACTTGTCGATTTCTACATAATATATTATGTGTAATATAAAAAAAAAAATTCAAAATAAAGTATGATATGTTATTACATTTTAGGTGATATTATATGATTTTTCGACAAGGATAAAACACACGAGTACGTTTGGACAGTCGACATTTATTCGCACACTCTTTTGTGATACGCCGAGTACTATATAAATTCGCCTGTCTCGTTTGCATTTTTGTCTGGGCCACTATACTTACGATCGGTTGTCGTATGCCTGCAGTACAGTCATATTAACACTGTGTTTACACTGATTGTATATCGATCGAACAGTTTTTGATTTTAAGCCGGTATGCTTCAAAGCTTTAAAATCAGAATTCGATTAAATGCTTAATCTAAGAAAAAATATATCACAAATGTGTTACGAGACAGTGTGTCTATTATAACTCCTTGA